GGATATTTAGCCTCAGAAACTGTAACTTTTCCTTATCTTTCATGTGTTCGGGCAATGGAGGGTGGTGGACTAATGAACATTCAAGCCTTCCGCTGAATTCTACGGTAATTGACTGATTTCCAACCTTGGCAGAACACCGGTGACATGATATGACACCGGCATGAATCACAGGATGGAAGACATGCCTGAGCTTGGCAGGACTCGAGCCCTAGGTCCGTCAAAGTGGTACACGACATCTTAACTACTGAGCCTACTGCAGCAGTCTTTTGATAAACAGAGAAACGAGTTCTTATAGCAGCCGGCCAGCGAATTTTTTTATTTATTAGTTCATTTATTTGCACTCCATCATGAGCAATGCCGAGACAAAGAGGAAATGACGGCAAATAACGAAAAGAATCAAAAGACAAGGAAAACAAATAAAAGAAACTGAAGCAAGAGTAAGAGTAATCAATAAAAACGAAAAAATCTCAGGCCACTATTGGTTGAATACCCGTTTCTCTCGAAAGGGCTACCCAAATTCTAAATTACCACCATCCCAACAAGCTGGAAGAAGATTTTCTCTGGCGTTCCTTGCTGTGTACTTCAAACAATCCGAAGGGCTCGTGTAATACTTTTGGTAAGTAGAAGAAGTTTTAATTTGATACTGATGAGATTAGAGAAGGCATCCTGTATGGGAACTGCACAAAAAGACTGGCCGTCTGGTTGCGTTATCAAACATGCCATCAAAAAGGGAACATCTGGTGTTGGCCGAAGAAAAATCGAAGATCGCAGGCACGGCCCCGACTGCCATAGTGCCGAACATAAAGCGGAATCGGACACTTCATGCGACTTGGTGATGATCTTTGAACCACTCAGTTATCGACTGGCTCTCTCTGTGAACAAAGCGAACGCCCGAACTGGCAACAATTACTAGTTATAGGAGTTTCTTACAAAACAAAAGGCCCTTCGCTCCAAGGAGAGCCTCCTACGGCTCAATCCAGTAGAAGACTAAAGATCTCGAGAGGTCACGAGTTAAAGAAAATCTGACTGATCGCCACGATATGCAACTAATGGGAGACCAGAAGAGGATAGCGCTGATTAGCCAGTCTTTTGGGATGCGCCATGCATTTGTTTCTTATCCAAACTCACGGTAGAGAATGAATGTTTGTTGCATTCCAAAGGCTGAGCGGTATCTCCATTTGTTTATTTGATTACTATTCACGGTAGCCACAACAAACAAACAAACCAATGACAGTAGGTAATCTCAACACTTATTTGAAGCGAGTCATTTGTAAAAGAGCTTCGCGTCGAACTTTTGCATGAGGAAGTTCCCATGCACGTGATATACATGAAAGAAGCGGAAGTGGTCTATGCTAACTGGTTGTTCGGGTTGCGCCACATATCGGTCTCCTCTTCATATTCCCAAAAGCCATTAATTCATTTAATGATCGATTGGTTTGTATGTTGACGCTCGGAAACATGCATCAAGCAAATTTGATAAAAGTTTGGTAAAACAAAGGAGCAGGGGGTCGGAGTAAAGGACAATGTAGCTGAGTATCGATCCAGGCAGCGAATCGATGTTGAGAAAGCTCGTAAACAAAGTCTAAAATAAGATTATTTACGTTTATATGCTGATAAACACATATGCAGGGACCAAACTGGACTAAGATACGGCAGAACTCTTAAGGAACCCCCCCCCCCCCCCCCCCCCCAACACTCGTACCCGAACCCGCTGAGGAGCTGGATCACATCAACGACAGTAAGGGACTCCCCCCTGCCAGAAGGACTCTCACTTGTTAAAGTGAAGTATTCATAGATAAATAAAATAAAATTCGGCAACAATCAGTCTCAGACTGATAATGTTAGAAGAACGGGGGTCTGCATAGAGTTGTTATTCTCTTTTGAAATGTTTTTGTACTTTGCCAATAAACGAAACCAGTTCTGCCCTCACGTGATGCACAATTCCAGGGAATTGCAAAAAGATCTATAAAGTCTGCGAATCCTGAAATTCAATGTTCACCATGGTATTTCAGCCAGTCCGAGTCCACAACCAAGACTAAATTGTTGTAAACAAAGTAATAAGAATGTAAGTCTGCCAGTAAAACAGCCGATAAGAATGGAGGCTGAGATGGGTCTACTTACGCCCACACTAGTTTGAAACAAATACAATAAGCTATGTTCTTCAACCCAAACAAACAAGTAAACAAGTAAACAAGCAGTAGTGGCATGTTAAAGAGGTGAAGTAAGTAGAATGAATGACAACTGACTTCATCAATTATCACAAAGCGGAAGGCCCGGCTACAAACTACACTACAAACATACCTAATCTGCAAAGGAGATTCGATTATGTCAGGAAAATTCAAAAGGAAAAGTTGTTTAACTGCACTGGCCTTCCGTTCACGTATCTGTGAGAATCTATAAGCTGTAAACAATCAGATACTTTCGTTTTACAGTTGAGTTTTCGAGAAAGGTTCAGATTTCTGTTTCACCAAGGCTGCTTTCATAGTCCACGATTTGGCGAGCGACCAGTCGAGCAGCCGGTCGAGTAACCGGACCACGACTGGTCGTCGGTCGCTCGCGAGATAGGTCCGCGACCGGTCGCTCGCCAAATCGTGGACTATGAAAGCAGCCCAACTGTGCTGTCGTGACTCTGTAAGCGTGATTCACCGGATCTCTATCGAATCGGGAAACAAGATAAAGGAAAATTCATTTCTGGGACTAGATCGTTACAGTGACTTTGTAGTGAAAAAAATGTAATGGACGCAAAATTGAACAGACAAGATAACCCTTTTTGAATGAATTCACAAATCCTCAACCCGTCATATAGACGTCGCATCGAACGGGGACCCTGAGCAGGTTCACATCGCCAGCCAGCTCCCGCAATTTGTTAACTGTGGGAATTGTGATCCCGTACTGTGTTTTAGTTTTCGTCTATTGACAGGTGAGATATAGAACTGCTAAAACACATAAAGGAGTATAATACCGCAAAAATTTACCGGGTCGCTTCAGATCAAAGGACTTCAGGACCGTTGCATAATCAGACGCGACTTGTGCGGAATGCTGACATGTGACAAAAGGAAAAAGCGCACCCCGAAATAATGGAAGGGAAAATGCGGCGATGGACGGCTGGAGTGACGTGTTTAGACCGTATTCACAATGATGCAACAAAGGAGCGTTTCGGAGTAGCCCCTACTGCTGATAAGATGAAGCTCGCTTCAGTGGTACGGCCATGTCTTATGCGTGGGCAAAAATAGTGTCTGTAAGATCGGCCTTAGCCCCGACCTGGAGAACGACTTAAGGGATATCCAAAGTAGCGCTTTTTCGATACCTTGGTTAGTTTTCATCCCAACCAAGCATCGGTTGAAGTGGCGTAAGCACACTATGAAAGCATACCTCGCTTCTAGGTGGGACAAACACTGTAAATGAGAGTTCATAGGAAGTCCAAAGAAAAAGGTAGTTTATAAATGCAGTCAAATTGGAAAAAGCTCAATCACTCTTATGGTATTTCAAACAAAAACAGTGAACCTACTCCTCGTTGCCCCAGTTGGCCCACTATCATCAGTGTAGTATGAATGTTGTCCCAGTAAGTAATAAGCAGTGAACATTTTTGACAGGAAAGAAAACCTTGCCCGAAATAATGGGATTTTGTTCATATGATTGTGAGGATCTGCGATAAACAAACCTGCAACAAACAAACAACAAC